GGTTTATTGCGTTGCAACACGGACTTGTACGGTCCACCACTGTTTAGAACGGATGAATTAAGTATCATGTACTTTCCAAGGGTACTACCTGCTTGTTAAAAACAGACATATTTGCGGGAACATTCAATAAATGATAATTGCCATTTACTGGCTGCAATTTTATATTGAAATGGCTCAGAATGCGCAGGCAGTGGTCGAGCTGCTAGATGACATGCATAGAGGTAAAATATATTAATATCGTACTACAATTCTTAAGTAATAGAGTAATAACATTTAATGTTACACATTTTACAAACATTGGATCGTGAAATTTGAGTAAATATGTACATAAAACGAGGTGTCTCATAAGCCTTGGACACTGACCCTTGAGTTATAAGAAGATTAATTAACAAGCTTTTTACATATTTTTAAAACATAAACATTCACGATAATAAATATTATTGTAAAAAAAACGGCACATTTTTAAATTAAAAGAGAAGCAGTTTTGATCAACACTTTTTTTAATGATTACTAGTCCATATCTAATCAGGTAAGAGAGGACAGGCAAGATGGTGGACTGGAGATGGGCTTTTACGAAGACCCCTTCATGTTTAGTATGAGGCTCTCATGGCCGAACTTGTTGAGGACCCAGCGTCCTTCAAGAAATTCACTTTTATCGGACCTGATGTGTCTCGGGGGTCAGACGCGATCAGGCCGAATCCTCTCCGCCGAAATCATTAAACTCTGCAATTCGTTTTCCAGGTGTTCTTTTCTTGTGGGGCATTATGCAAGAGATTGTGGACGGACGTATTAGGTCCGTATAGATCCGTGGCAATTCGTTCTTCTCCGTATCAATTCGTTCTTCTCCGTATCAGACCGTACTTATTCGTACTAACCCGTGCTTATACCGTAGCTGACCGTAGTGTATCGGTAGTGCGTCCGTCCTAATTCGTGTCGCTCCGCATCAAACCGTGTAGGTCCGTAACAATCCGTGTCTCTCCGGGGGATTTTGGTGGTAAATCCGTCGGACTCCGTACTTATACCGTTGTGTGTCCGTACTGGAACCGTAGCGGACTACAGAATTTCACATTTCCGTAGTAATCCGTGAACGATTAGACCGTAGCTCTTCTGTGGCATTATCTGTGAATATGTGACCGGGGCATAACATTCAGTTTTAATTTCTAACTAACATTCAGGTTTAATTCACAAAACACAGTCATATTAGAGTAAAATTTGACCTGATAATAAAACAAACACTTAAATGTTACAAAAAACATGAAATTCTTAAAAATAAATTTTCCATATAAGTAAAATAAAGCAACTACCTCAAAGTAAAGCAGAAATTTAACATTTTTTTTCAATTTTTAATAAGTAAAAAGAAGAATTTATCATACTCTATTAAAACCTATCAGATATTTATTATAATCTATTAGTATGGTAACAACTGGAACAATTTTAGTTTTAAATCTTAAATGCGAAGATTTCTGAAATAATTATAATAAAAATCTGGCAAAAAAAAATTGAAATTTTTATTTTTTACTCAGTCATTTTAGTTATAATGAGATCATTTATGTATCCCTACACAAGATCATTTACAATATCACTAGTGCATGGACACAGTCAATCAGTAAAATTAGTATTTTTTAAGGAAATAAATTCAAAATCAGGCAGACCCCTTGAAAATAAACCTAAATGTTTCAATGATTTCAATTAATATTGTTAAAAAATTAAAACTATAAATAACTCAAGCAGAGAAATCAGAAATCTGTGAATAAAAATTAGTGATATAACACTTAAATGATCCTTAGATATAGTTTCACAATATACAATCACATCTACAATCAACTGATCTCTGTTAGAAAATATAATATATGTGATTTGTGGTATAAGATGCTGCAGGGTTACAAAGACAGTTATTAAATTCACCATGAACTGTGAAGATTCTCTCCAGTAACATTTTGATAATAGATACCTCAGACACAATAAATATTTCAGTCACTGTAAAAAATCTCATATAGTTGACATAAAGCTAGTCTGCTAAGTTTTGAATGTTCTCAAGACTATGCTCTTTAACAATTTTTTGACTACATTATCATCTATTTGCAGTTCAAAAAAATAAATGATAGTAAATCTATATAATATATCATACATAAACAAACTAACACTTTTGTTCAATTAACCCTTGTCTTGCTGGCATCAACATTTTCTACCAATAATGTAATGATTTAAGGGGCCAGTTACACAGACGGTCGGTTCCCAATCGGTCATTTAATGTTAAATTTCCTCGCTGTTATGATCGGTTGTCATGTGTGAATTTATTTCTGGTTTTCTGTGTAAACCATGGACCATGGAAACTGCCCGTTTACAAAAAACTAACACATCAACATATATTTTTATTTCTATTTTTGAATCCACCATTAAATGTAACTTGATATATCAATAATGTAGAAAATTCTATGAAAGAAATTTCTTGATAGCTTTAATTTTTACAGAATTCATGTTTATTTTTTCCCATTTTTGTTTAGTTAAAAAACATGAAAAACTCATTTTTTAAAGAAATATGTTCCAATTATCGTTTGTTTTATACAGAACCCTAAGATAAAGCAAGCTTTGTTTAAATTTATGTTTATTGGATATGTAATAAGCTGTTTTAATACATTTTTATAACACAGTTTGGCTATTTTGACAATTTTGAGGTATACGGTTACCATGGAAACTGCCATTTTTCAAAAAATCCAACACGCCAACATATATTTTTCTTTTTAATTTTGAATTCGTCATTAAATTTTACACAGCATACAAAAAAATTAGAAAATCCTATGAAAGAAATTTTTCAATATCTTTAATTATTCACAAAATTCATGTTTATTTTTCTCATTTTTTGTTCGGTAAAGGAACATGGAAAACTCATTTTTTAAAGAAATATGTTCAGATTATCATTTGTTTCATACAGAATCATTGGATAAGGTTATCTTTGCATAAAACAATGCTTGTTGTGTGTATTTAGCTATCTTATACATTTTCTATTTGTTATATCACAGTTTGGCTATTTTGACAGTTTGAGATATACGGTTACCATGGAAACTGCCATTTTACAAGAAATCCAACGCGTCAACATATATTTTTCTTTTTATTTTTGAATTCGCCATTAAATTTTACTTATCATACAAAAAGAGCTTGCATATCTCGTGATATAGGTTGCTGTCGGTTATTTGTAAAATATTTTCACCGATCAAGAATTTTAAACATGTTTAAAAATCCCAATTGGTAATTTTTCACAGATAAATCTTGCCTCAATAGCAGTTGATGGAAAACAGGTGACAAATACGTGATATCGGTGTTAAATATGTTAGCATCGGTTCACTCCATAATTTGGCTAAAAAAACTACCGATCAATCACCGAAGGCTCTGTGTAACTGGGGTGTCAAATATAGAAAAGATTACTACCAACCTTTGCTTGTTACCATCAACTTTTTGTTTCTAACAGTTATTGTTTGATTTTATTTACCAGTCAATTGCATACTAATCATATGGTCAGAGCACATAATATATTAACCTTCCATAGATTTTTGATAAGTTCTGTGAGATGTACACGCAGTAAGATATAATTCAATTTAATTTGTATCCGTGAAGTAATGGTACTGAGCGATAATAGTGCAATAGGGTAAACTAAGGGTTTATATTTTCTAATTAAGTGCCCTACCTGTTGTAAGATCGAGACCACGTAGGTCTATGTTTTTTTTCTTATTTATATTTCAACATTATTGAAGCTATGATTGTTTTTTTTATGTTGTTCCTTTTGTTTCAATATGTTTCACTTACTTTGGTAAAGTCATCTTCGGATAACCAACGGTTGATTAACATGACTGTAAATATTAACATAACAAATGTTAATGGTTCAGCCATGGGTATCCAACATTGTGATAAAGTCTTATATATACTATTTCTAAATAACATGGTTGAAGAATTAATATTTAAAATTAAGATTAAAATCCATAAATCGTCATTTCAATGCCGTAAAACACAATACAAATCAAGACAAAACAGTGTTTCTAAGTTACTTCATATCGGAGTAGCACTTTTGTAGCTATTTCCATTAAAAAATACTGCAAAATAAAAAAGAGTAGGTCTAAAACAATGGCAACAGTAGGGATCTAGCTTTAAATGCACTACCAGTTACAATAGATTATTATTTTCAAAGCTGTAACTGTAAAAGTTTGTTTGAAATCCCCAAAATATTCTTTATTCTGGAGTAAGTCTATTCTTTCAACAGTGTAGGGTCTAGAACTACACCGTCTAATGAAGTTATGCAGTGGGCAATGCATCAAAAAGATATAACTAACAATTATAATGTATGTGCAAAAATCAATGAGCGGATTAAAGCATACCGTAAAATTCCTATTAAACGCCCCCGGGGGCTTAACATTTTCCAAAAGGGGGGCTATAATATTACAACACAGTTTTTCCTAAATCCAAAAATCACTGTAAATACATTTAGTGTTAGCAAGTGTTGGTAATAACATTAAAAAGTATTAAGGTTTTAAAGTTTATATTATACATTATATTTGTGTTTACTATAAAATACTATGGATTCTGAATAATTTGAATAAAATTATGGCTTTAATTATGAGTTCAGCACTGATGAGTAGATTGTTTTCCTTATCAAAAGGCCTGGGGGGGCCTTTATTAGGGGAGGGGCATTTATTAGGAATTTTACGGTAGCTAACTTTTGTACAAAGACTACATTTTTAAAATAATTCTGGAAAAAGAGTTAGCTAACAAATTAGAAGGAAAAAGCAGGATTCATCAACTTGATAGCCTGTTTTTTTTTTCTTTTAATTGTTTCTTAATACATGTCATACAACAAATGCCACATTTTTAATTTGTACATACTGATGAAAAACCTAAAACAAATGTCAGCAATTCAGACCATTTTCTAAAACATAAAAAAAAATTGAAAAGATTTTTTCTTTAAATCTTGACTGCTTGTCAAATTAAATTTTACTTTTTACTTAAAAAACTGAAATATCCAAGCCAAAAAAGATCCATACTTAAAGGGCTTCTTAAATAAGAGAGTGGCAACAAACATGGATATTTACAGAGAGTTATAGGGTAAAATATGTCCATTACTCCTTTTTATTCTTTTTTCAGGAGAGCATCACTGTGATGAAAATACATGGCAACATTTTCTTAAATTATATATTTGAAACTATGATTTGGGCTTATGACACCAGAAAGAGTATATCAACATTAGTAAAGAAGAAAATGGTTAACCTGAATGTGTAAACATTATGATCTGACTTGGGGTTCAGATTGAATTCTTGTGATGTAAATACTAACATACTGATGGATGAAATGAGGTATATATTATTCCATATATTTTGCCTGCACTTCTGTAACCAATCATAGAGAAGGAAGAGTGATGAACAACGAATCACAGAAAAAGCAATACCAGTAGCTGGAGAGTAAAAAGCATTGAGAAAAGTATATGTATGTGGACTGAGTTGTATGTGAGGCAACAAGTGAAGTTAAAATAATTTTTTCACAGCTTTTACTTTGAACTAATCTCTCAAATTCAATAGGAGATTAAATCATTCATTATATTATAAAATGATAGGACTATAGCATATAGCAAGACATAAAGATAATTTCTATTAAAAAAGAAATTGATAATAAGAAAAATTGTCAAATGACAGTTTAATAGTGTATATATTATATTCTTTGAAGAATATTTTTGATAGTTTTGTGGATAGATTATACATCATAAAATGACGAATTTGACAAATCTTGATTTCAAAGACAACAAAGACTTTCAAATATTTTTAGAGAGCATAAAGATTTTAAATCAAAGTGGGGATACTAGAATATCTCTAGACAACATACAAAGAAACTGCAATGATTATATACTGAGTAACAGCAATGTGTCATCTTTAAGTAACGTGACATTTACAGATGAACAAATCGAGGTACTGGACAAGCTTTACCATGCACTTTATTGTTTCATTATTCCAGCTGTTTGTGTGTTTGGATTTTTTGGAAATATACTTAACGTTATAGTTTTTTCAAAAAAGAGAATGTGCAAAACTTTGGATGATATAGAATATTGTACAACAATTTTTCTGATTGCTCTAGCAATCTCAGACATGATGTTTTGTGTTTGTACATTCCCACAAGCGTTTGACAACCGAGCTATAAGGGAGTATGAAGTAGCAGACTTTATGGTGTATTATAAGATGTACTCTAACTTTGCTATCAGTACTTTCATCCTGTCCAGTACTCTACTTACAGTACTTACAGCAGTTATGAGGTATACAGCCATCTGTCATCCATTCCATTCCAGACAATTCATTTCATTTCGCAAAACTGTTGTTGCAATTTTGTTGCTATTTTTCTTCAGTGTGCTGTTTAACTTTCCATACATCTGGCGTTTTAAAATGACTACATCAAAATGCCAGCCTTCTTCAAATTATGTACAACTTGACACTGGAGATTTGTTCACAAAACAAAATTTTGTTTATACACATAAACTATTGTGGGCAATAATTGGTAACTTCATACCATTGTTGTTGTTACTGTACTGCAACATCCGACTTGTAAAAGCTCTGCACGAGAGTCAGAAACTTCGACTTCTTCACAGTAGAGATAACGCAGGATGTCTTTCTGCACATCGCCGTATAAACATAACACTTATTGCCATTATTATACTGTTTTTTATCCTTGTGGCACCATCTGAGATCACAAAATTTATTTATTTTTCTCATTCCAAAAATGGCGTGGAAAGGCAGTCATATGCTTACATTCTTGTGTCAATGATAACAAATGCACTACAGAGTATAAATTTCTCTGTAAACTTTGTCCTCTATTATGTCATCATAGCACCTTTTAGAAAGACAATTCATGAATTTGTGTGTGTGCTAATGTCAAGACGAGGGACAAGAGATTCAACAAACAGTCCAAAACAAACATGTATAGTTCTAACTCACAAAGAACAAAGACGAGCCTTAATATAGGCAACTTTGCTTTCAATCATAGATCATCGATTGTTGTTAATTCAAACTGTGTATATTCTTACCCTTGCATAAATTTTTGTCCTACAAGGTCTTACATATAAGGAGCATAGATTTTTATAATGAAGCACCAAGCTAGGTTTGACGGAAGGGAATTGACCAGAATTACATGAAATCATTACAACTTATGAATACCTTAACAGGTAATATGTAAGCTGTCAAAATACTACAATTCTTACATTAATCAAATTATATGTGGAATACTGAAAGTTTTAGTAAAAGTCAAAATAAATTAATTCCTTTGAAAGCATACACAGCTTGATACTTGATTCCATTGCAAAAAGACAAAAGTGATAGTAAAGGTAATAAAATAACTATATGAATGAGGTAGCAATGAACAAAACACAATGTACATGAACTCAGATAAATTGATGCATACCTTAATTATTCTATTATATATCAATATTTAAAGACGATTCTACAAGTCAAATTGCTATTTACTATGTAAGATTAAACAGCTTTCTGACTATGTCTGAGAGCTATATTGAGGACGTAACCATTTGATCATACTGTCAAAAAAAACATATACCTCAACCCAACTAATAGTTTTCTATTGGAATTATTAAATGTTACAAAATGATTTATGTTCAGTGCAAATGCAAGAATAATTAGCTAGTAATGATCTACTTTGTGAAAATCTCCAGGAACTAATCTTGTTATCAACACCTGCTTTCTGTATGTTTAAACATCAATTTGTTTCCCACCTGAAATATTTCAAAGAAATAACAAGGAGCCTCAGGTGCTTGTCATTTTTAATTTTAGTTCTATTCTGTAAAATCTAACCTCACAATGTACATCACATGTAACAACGCCTTACACTTTCAATGTTTTTATTTCTTAAATAACATGCTTGTTTTAGTTTCTATAAATAATCTCTTTTGTTGACTGTTTTGTCAGTGTCCAAATGACTGTAAAGTATTTTAGAGCTATCACCGTATGATATCTAACCACATGAAGTTTGTGTATGTTCAGAGTTATAGCCCTTTTCCTCTCAACAGTTAACTTTGATAAAACATGTAGTTACTTCAACTAACTTTGATAAAACATGTAGTTACTTCAACTATGTGAATACTTTCAACATAATTTTCTTATAACTATCCCAACAAATTATCATGCTTATTAATAATCACATTATAAATTTATAAAATGTTTGTTTGTTTAGTTTTATGGGCACCAACACAGTAAGGTCTTATGGCACCGAAACAGATGATTCTGGCTAAACTTGGGTGTTGCATACTTAAGGTCAAAACCACCTCACCTGCTGGAGCTAAGCAATGCATAGACTCCAGTAATTAGAACCCATTTAGTTGTCTCTTATGATCCAGTGTCTGCAATTTTTATGCCTCAACAATTAACGACAAGCCCTCAGCCACAAGGGGCCTATAAAATGTTAAAAATTATCAAAAATGTTGTATATACATCTATTAATGTTGTTTTATTTTTAAATAAATCCGTTTTTGAATACATTGTACATGTATTATCATTCTAATTTTTTCATTCATAGAATATTGTTGTTAAATTGTCTTTCATATTTTTCTCCTCTTAAAATTGTATTCTATGTACATACCAGCATGAATAAGGTATAGTATTTTACTGACTTTTGAGAGACCAGTTTTGTGAATATCATTTCTATCAATAAAACAATAATATTTACCTAGCACAATGATCAGTAATGATATATTATAGCCAAATTATAGAACTTTAAAATTCTCCAACATTTAATCTTCAATATCAATCAAAATTGAATATTTTTCAAATGACCTTATGCATTTTATATCAGTTTTACTGAACTCTCTGTGATATATCTATATTGGTATTTTTCATCCAAAATACAGTATATTTTCTGATCATATAACACTTTTTTTTATAGATATCAGTAAATAATTCAAATTTTTATTTTTTTTTGTCAATTATAATATGAAATTCTCCTTACAAACACAGCCACATTGGGCTCTCAAGTCAGTATCAATACAGTGACCCCAGCTTGAATGACAATTGTGCTTCAATTGTGCTTTAATTATTGTTGTACAATTTCAGTCATAGTTTATTGTTAACATGTTATTAAACCTGTATAAATTGTTCATCATTTTCATGATATTATGTTATATATGATAAACCATTTACATGTAAAACATCAGCATAACTGTGTTATATGATTGACTGATAAATGATCAATTAAGATAATGAACATTTTGTGCATGTTGTTTTACAATTTTACAGTTGTCAGCTTCAGTTGTTACAATAAATGCTTTATTTTACTGCATACTTTGAAGTTGTTTTAATTGTAAACATCTGTTATAAGATTACATTAGATCTTTCAACTATAATCCTTTCCTCAGGCCATGTACAGGATTATCATCATTCTAGCTCTATAGCAGTGAACATCAATAGCTTGTTTGCAATTTGTTATAACTATAAAAACTGATAATGTTTTACCAAATAGAAACTAGAACTGCCACAGTCATGGTATGAATACCCCATGCATACCACTTTGTCAGAATCAACAGTGGTCATTTAGAACTCAAAGACAACCTCACTGCCAAATCTGAGGGTAGTAAGCCTGTGCATTGCTAAGTTATGTATTCTACATGTTTTTTAGTGGCAAAGATCAAAGTGACCTTTACCTTTGACCTACTGACCTCAAAACTGAAACTGCCACTGCATGACTTGAATACCAACCCCCCATTCATGCAGCTTTGCCTGGGGGTGTTTTATGATGAATATTATGAGAACATAATTGATAATAATAATATAATTAAATACTTCAAATGTCAAAATCATTACACTGCAGACAGGCATTCTTAAGCATTTGAGCAGACAAGCTTATTGTAGTAAAAGTCTCAGTGATCTTGACCTTTGACACAGTCACCTAAAAATCAAGATGGGTTGTCTATGACAACTGTTAACCAAAGCATTCTTAAGCAATTGAGCGGACAATCTTTTTGAAGTCAAGGCCCCTGTGACCTTGACTCTTGACCCAGTGATCTCAAAATCAACAGGTCATCTAATGGTCATGACTAACCTCCATACTGTGGGTCAAAGAAATCTTAAGTTATTGGGCGGTCAAGCTTTTTGAAGTCAAGGGCCCTGTGACCTTGACCTTTGACCCAGTGACTTCAAAATCATAAGAGGTCATCTTATGGTCATGACCAACGTCTATGCCAAATATGAAAATTGTGGGTCAAAGGAATCTAAAGTTATTGGACAGACAAGCTTTTTCTAGTCAAGGCACCTGTGACCTTGACCTTTGACCTGGTGACCTCAAAATCAATAGGGGTCATCTATTAATCATGACCAATCTCAATACCAAATATAGTTATTGGGCGGACAAGCTTTTAATGCGCGGCCATTAAATGGCTGGGGCATATAGTGTTACCCTGTTCCGTCATTGCGTCCTTCTGTCCTTCCATCATCATCAGTTTCCCTTCATAATCTTAGTAACGGTTGCACACATTCAACTCAAATTGACATATGGATATATCATGAGAAAATACAGGCCAAATACGAATTTGGTGATGGTTCAATGATTTCTGGCAGTGTTATGCCCCTTTCACTTAGAAAATAATATGAAAATTTCAGTTTCTGTTCATTATCTCCCCATTAACGGTATTATAAATTCAACTTTAATTTGGCATATAGATAAGTCAAAGGGATGCACAGGTCAAGTTCAAATTTGGTCATGGTTCGATGATATGGGACAAAGTTATCTCTCTTGAATGTTGGAAAAATTTTGAATTTTCAGTTTCAGCACTCATACATTTGTGGAAATATATGTAGTCATTATTTTGGCTACAAATTGCAATCTGCAATTTACAAAAGGTTAACACTGAATGAGTTTCAGTGCATTGAACTTTTAAAATGTTTTGTAATTACATTGAATACTGTAAAACACTTATTATTCGCGAGAAATTTATTTTCGCTAATATTCGCGAGTTTTCTAAGACGCGAATTCATATTTCTCGTGAATATTTCACTTTGTCTATACACTTGTCCGAAAATGAATACTATCCGAAAATGCGTACACAGGGATATAATTATCTGCGGGAAAGTATCGAAACCAGTTCTAATTACATCATGTAGCTATTCAAGTGTTGCAGCATATACATATCATACAGATTACAGATGAAATATTTACCTGTAACAATTTGGTATTATTGAGGAATTGGAAAAAAACTTCTTCGTTGCATATTACCTGAGTCAAAGTGGTAGCAGTGACTTGCACTAGAATTAAGTATAAACAAATTAATGCAGCTCTAAAAATTTTAATGGTTTTTCTACAGATTTTTCTAATTAATGTGACAATAAACGACGCAAAGTTAGTGAACGAACAGGACAGAAAATATCCGAATGACATCGGGTTTCCTGTTTCACATTTTTCGGGAAGACGCGAATTCATGTTGACGCGAAATAATTATTTTGGACATTTTGCCTCAAATTCGCGAAATAAGGTTCTCGAGAAAAATAAGTGTTTTACAGTAGTTTTAAGGGCTTTGAACTTAATTTAAAACTAGAAATGTGTCCATAGGACACGGGTGCCCCCACACTCCACTGATTTGTCAATCTTATGTCTCTAGGTCAAATTTTTTTTGCTACATGTGCTCAAGTTGAAAACTAAAAAATCTTTTATTAAGTAAAGGGCAAATACTACAAATACTGAACAAAATCCACAAGAAAACCCCAAAGTGCATAAGTACACATGCTGACCAACATTCTTGTAAACTTTCAGGCCTACAGGTCAAATTCTTTTTGAGTTACTTGCAACTCAAGTTAAGTATTATCAGTTTTTACTAAGTCAAGGGCTATAACTCTAAAAATACTAAATATATATACACGAAAAACTACACATGCTGAGCAACATTCCTGTAAGCTTCATGACTCTAGGTCAAATACTTTTGAGTTACATGCGACACAAGTTGAAAATTGGAAATTTTTACTAATTCAAGGGCAATTACTCTAAAAATAGTAAATATATATACACGAAAAACTACACATGCTGAGCAACATTCCTGTAAGCCTCATGACTCTAGGTCAAATACTTTTGAGTTACATGCGACACGAGTTGAAAATTGGAAACTTTTACTAATTCAAGGGCAATTTCTCTAAAAATACTAAATATATCCACAAAAAAATACCCAGGTGCAAAACTAAACATGCTGATCAACATTCCTGTAAGGTTTCATGACTCTAGGTCACATACTTTTTGAGTTACATGCGACACAACTTGAAAATTGCAAATTTTTACTAAGTCAAGGGCAATAACTCTAAAATACTAAAAATATCCACACGAAAATACCCAGGTGCACAACTACACATGCTGAGCAACATTCTTGTAAGGTTTCATGAATCTAGGTGAAACACTTTTTTAGTTATGTGGGACACAAGTTGAAAATTGGAAATTTTTACTAAGTCAAGGGCAATAACTCTAAAAATACTAAAAATATCCACATGAAAATACCCAGATGCACAACTTCACATGCTGATCAACAATCCTGTAAGGTTTCATGACTCTAGGCCAATTACTTTTTGAGCTACTTGCGACACAAAAAGAGAACGGACAGACGGATGAATGGACGGACAAGGGTAAATCTAAATGCCCCCCATAGTGGGGGCACAAAAATAATTTGTGCAAATAAATTTGAAACTTAATATTATAACATCTGAAATTTTGGCTGCATTCGGGGGAATCCGTGGCGTGACAACACATTTCTCATTGAAGTCAAGGCCCCTGTGATCTTGACATTTGACCCAGTGGCCTCAAAATCAATAGGGGTCATCTAATGGTCATGACTAATTGCCATGCTAAATATGAACACTGTGGGTCAAAGAATGGCAGACAAGCTTTTTGATGTCAAGGCCCCTGCTGTGACCTTGACCTTTGACCTCAAAATTAATAAGGGTCTTCTGCTAATCATGATCATGTGTGGCGGCGTGGCCGTGTGGTTAATGCGTTGGACTAGTAATCTAAGAATTGCTGACCGCGTTGGTTCAAACCCTATCAGAGGCAAGCCGTTGTTTCCTAGAGCAAGAAACTTTACATTCATTTCTTAGTACTGGTTGGTTCTAGGAACGGATTCGAGAGTGTTTCAATAAGCTTATAGCTTCTAACACAATCGATTTGTATAAAGTAATCATGACCAATCTCAATACCAAATATGAAGACTGTGGGTCAAAGGAATCTTAAGTTATTGGGCGGACAAGCTTTTTGAAGTCAAAGCCCCTGTGACCTTGACCTTTGACCCAGTGACCTTAATATCAATAAGGGTCATCTAATGATCATGACTAACCTCCAGGCCAAATATGAAGACTGTGGGTCAAAGGATTCTTAAGTTATTTGGCAGACTCAAGGCCCCTGTGACCTTGACCTTTGACCCAGTGATCTCAAAATCAATAGGGGTCATCTAATAAATATTTTCATTGTTGAATATCTGGCACAATTCATCAGTTTTGTCAATCAATCTCTCACAAGTCCGCATTATGCATGTACATGTCTTTCGATCTTTAATCAGCAGCTTTTTTCCTACGATTTTATTTTGTTTCCAAAGCTTACTGTTATGGATACATGTAAATCTTTTTTCCAGCTTCTATACCTGGACTTCTGTTTATAATTACATGTATATTAATAAATGCCCTTGAAGGACTTTTGGTAAGCTTAACTTGTAACAACTATATTTCACTGTTGAAGTGAACAGTAAAGTTATATAGTATAGGCCTAGCTTTAGTGATGTGTTTGATCAACAGTACTGAAGTTCAATACCCAGTCAATGAATGTAGACATGTCAGGTTTATTTTATGCTGATGATAATGGTAGTAGAGACCAGACAAGTTAAAATGGTTTCATGTAGGGGAAATAATTTAAAGATATCTCATTTAACTCTTATATAACTCTTATATAACTCTTGACAATACAGTATCATTTAGATCTCATTCTCATTTTTGGTCAGCTTTGTACTTTTCGATGGATTTTAAACAATTATTTTCCTTAAGGTGACAACTTGGTCAATTATCACTAAAAATACCTAAAATGAGATTTTTTGGATAGTAGATGTATCAACCTTTTCTGAATGTTTTTAAACGTTTTAAAACAGTACCTATACTATTTTTATCTGCTTTGCACGTAAACTGTTAATTATCGATAATGCTCCACCTCCAGTTGAGGCACCAATGAGGGAAATCAGTAGTTCCATTTATATATTTGTGAATTACCCATTTATTTGTTTTTAATTTAGTCGATACTAATCGTATCATACAAATACTGTACATCATATGAATATCTCAACATTATATCAGCTGCCTTTTATTTAGCCTTTTTAATTAATTAAGAAATTGTCAGCAAAGATGTGACATAAAAAATTACGAATTCAAGAGCTTTCTGTACAACATTCAATCTCATTTTCTAACAATACCAAAAGAAACATTTTTATGTGGACGCTGGCGGTAATTAGGTGTCCCTGACAAATTACTAAACTATTTTTACGATAGTCTGTGGATGAATATTTCTCTATGAATCAATAAAAAAAGATATGAAAATATATTTTCAGTGAATACTTTGAATATATTGTTCGCCAGTTATTCGAACACAGTACTATTAAACCTGGGACAAAGTTGTATGTCTATGCCATGCATAGATGAATATTTATGATAATAGAAGTCATGAAGTTCAGATCATATTGATCGAGTAATAACTTTGATTTCTATTAAAATATGTCAAGCATTATTTTTCGTAAGGCCTTCGGCCTTGCACATGTATACAAATAGCATGTTTATCGAGGTTCGCGAGATAGGTACCGCAATTCAAAGATAAAAACGCAAAATAAACTAGTCGTACTACGTCACACACATCATGATCACTCGAGCGTTTGATAATCATAGTTTACCGAGCGCTGGATAGGTACACACGTGTAGTCTCAGACTGAATTTTATTTAGCTTTTTTCATCTTTTATCGGTAAGTTTCTTGGTCGAGACAGTTTTTATTTTGTACAGCTCTTTGCCGGCACGTAGTGTTGGTATTAGTTTTTTATCGTTGGTCCTTTTTATTAAGGAATAATGAGCTGCAACGAGGAAAACGAGGACGAAGTCCTTAGTCTATGCGCCGAATCATCTGACTCTAGATCTGGGGAAGAGTTCGAAGGCTTCGAAGAAGCTGATTTGCCTCCTGAAATTGTTGTAACGCCTGCTGTTGGCGCAGAAATTGAGGTGCAAGATTCTCCTGTCAAACGGAAGAAAAAGTCTAGGGCTCGTGTCCCAAAGAAATTAAAATCAGTTGTGACTAAAAAGTCTACTGCCAAGTCTAAGACTAAGTCTCAGAAAAGTAAGAAAAAGAAGAGTGACATTAATTTGGAAGATTTATCTCCTCATGATATTGGTATTTTGAAAACAAAATTAGGTTTGAACAATAAGGAAAACTCGCAGAGTTTTCGAAATAGACCAAATTTACGGGTAGAGGTGAACCCTGATGATATTTCTTTAGCTGATTCAGATGACTGTTTTACTGGGAATTTTCCCAATGAAGAAGATAGAAGAGACCTTGAAAAGGCTTTGTTTGGTGATGATGATGAAAATTCAGAGAATGATGATGAGTGGGATTTACCCCAGATCTTGGTTTCCGAGAAAGGTCCAAGTATTGACAAGAATTTGGCAAAACTAGTTAATTCCTCTTGCACTACTCAGTCAAGTGTCTCAGATATTTTGCACAAGTATAACGTGCCAGAAAATTGTGATTTCTTGGCTCCACCATCTGTAAACCTTGATGTTTGGAAAGTTTTAGGCAAGAAGGGTCAGAGTCAGGATCGTTGTTTGGTAGATATCCAAAATATAGTTGCGGCTGAGATGGTTGCAGTTGTTAAATTGGCTTCTGTGCTCAAGCATCATATTAAAAGCAATGTTGAAGCAAAAAGTATCTTAACTGATTTGATTTCTTTAACTGGTCAAGTTCAGTTTAATCTGTCTTTAAGACGTAGATACCAATGTAGGCCTTTTCTGAATAAGAAATATACCAATCTTTGTAATATTAATGTACCCATTACCACAAAATTATTTGGTGATGACCTTGCAAAAGAGGTTAAAAATTGTGATGTTGGTTTCTCTTTAGCAAAAGAAAAATATGGTACATCTTATTATGGTCCCCAGAGATCCTTTCGGGGTCGAGGTGTCAATTACAGGGGAAGAAGACCAAACAGGTTCCAGCCTTATGGTCAGCAATATGGCAGGCAACAGTATAGCCAGCAGCAGTATGGGCAGCAAAACCCTCTTTTGAGACGGGGAAGAGCTAGGGCTTCAGCAACAGTTTCAAGTGCCCCAAACTAAACAGACTGGACACCTCTCATGTAGGTAAGCTTAAACTTTGTTTGGATGTTTGGAAACAGTTTACTCATGATGCGTGGATTCTTCAAACAGTAACTGGTTAATAGATGATTCTTTAAGCATGAACAGAGATAAAGAAATTTGTAGGAATGATACAGTTTTAATGTGTGACACTTTATCTTCTTTGGGTTATACAGTGAATAAAAAGAAATCTGTTCTTGTCCCCACACAGAGGTTGATATTTTTTGGTTTTGTTTTGGACTCCGTTTTATTTATGGTTTTCCTGACAGATGAGAAAGTTCAAAAAATAGTTTCTTCGGCTTCTAATCTTCTACAGAAGGAGGTTGTTGTTGTCCGAGATCTGGCCTCTTTTATAGGGTTAGTGATCAATGCATTTTATGCAGTTCTCGAAGCCCCATTGCATTATAGAAGCTTAGAAAGAAATAAATTGTTAGGTCTTGGTTCTAACATGAATTTTGATAATAAGGTTGTCCTCAGTAAGGATAGTCGAGAGGAGTTGTTGTGGTGGAAAAATAATGTCACCATCAAAAATGGAAAACATATAAGGCCTGGACCAGTTGAATACTGGTGTTATTGTGATGCTTCGTTTGTTGGGTGGGGCTCGTATGATGAAGAACTTAATAAATCTGCTAATGGAAGATGGAATTCTTCTTTGTTTGATAAATCTATAAATTATCTGGAATTATTAGCTATTTTCAATGCAGTCCGAGCTTTGTATAATGAGGTGCGGGATACCCATATAGAGATAAAGTCAGACAATGTTTCGGCTATAGCTTATGTAAATGACCTAGGTGGAATGACTTCCTTATCAATGGATTTGTTGGCCAAAGACCTTTGGGAATGGTGCTTGTCTAGGGATATTTTTCTTTCTGCATCCTATATTCCTGGTGTAGATAATGTGTATGCTGATTATTTTTCAAGGAATTTCTCGGAGAGTACTGAATGGTCTTTGAAACCAGACATTTTTGAAAGAATTTGTGGAACTTTATTCAAACCTGATATAGACCTTTTTGCCTCTGAATGGAATAAGAAGTTAGATAGATATGTCTCATGGTTTTCAGGAAGCACTGAAAGTGCTTATGATTCTTTTACAATGTCATGGTCTGGTTTTACTCCATATTTATTTCCTCCATTTAATTTGGTTGGGAAAGTAATGAACAAAGTTTTATCAGACAAGGTAAATAAGGCCATTCTTGTGTTTCCTTTTTGGAAATCAGCTACTTGGTTTCCATTGGTATTATATAATATTATTTCTTTTCCAATCAGGCTACCTCGCCACCGAGACTTGTTATCTCAGGAACACAACGGGAAAACACATCCTCTACAGAATTCTTTAACAATGGTCGCTGTCGTTATATCTGGGAAGCATTACAAAGTCAGGGAGTTTCAAGATCAACTGCATGTGTCATTACTGAAGCATGGAAGAAAGGAACCATCAAACAGTATGAATTCGCTTGGCGTAGCTGGTATTTTTGGTGTTATAAACAAAGTAAAAGTCCCTTTTCAGCGTCTGAAGGTACTGTAGTGAATTATTTGTGTCATTTATTGTGTCTAGGTAAATCATATTCAGTGTTGAATACACACAAATCTATGCTTCTACAAACTTTACCTTTTTTCAACAATAGTTGGTGTGATAAGCCTTTCCTTATTAGTAAATTTATGAAGGGTGTTTTTCACCGAACCCCACCTAAACCTAGGTATTCTTTCACATGGGATGTTTCAGTGGTATTAAATTTCTTAAGAACTTTGTTTCCTTTGTCTAGTCTTAGTTTAAAGCTTTTAACATTTAAACTTACAGCTTTGATTGCGCTTTGTACTGCTCCAAGAGCACAAACTTTAGTTGCGCTGAACATTGATTTTATGGTGTTTCATGACAATAAAGTTGTTTTCCATATTTCGTCCTTGTTGAAGACAAGCAGGGTAGGACATAGTGCTTTCTCTTTAGTTTTGGAGAAGTATGATCCTGATGAGAAACTGTGTGTTGTGAAAACTTTGTTACATTATTTGAAAAGAACAGAGAGTTTACGGGAAAGTAAACAACTTTTAGTTTCTTTTTGTGACATACAAAGGTGTTACTTCTAGTACTGTGGCTAGATGGTTGAGAGAAGTTTTATCCCTCTCGGGTATTAATACAGATGTGTTTAAGGCACATTCTTTTAGGTCTGCAGCAGTTTCAGCAGCCTATACTAAGGGGTGTTCAGTCAGTAATATTCTTAAAACAGCTATGTGGAATACAGAGAAGAATTTTTATAAATTTTATTTCAGAAATTCTGTTCCTGATAATGCCGGGGTTGCTTTCCCCAGGGCAGTGTTATCTAATGTTTAGTTATTAGTTTTTGTGTGGGAATATATATTGGTTTGTTTATATCAGGCTTTGTTTTGTTTCATGCTTTAAAAATGCTATTTGTATACATGTGCAAGGCCGAAGGCCTTACGAAAAATAATGTTCCCTCATCCAAGCTTTAGTGATGGATGAGGGCCATTATTCTAGTAAGGCCGGAGGCCTAAGCATGTATGCATTACCCACCTCATTGTTTTTTCTTATTTCTTTCCCTCCTCTTGTAAAGGGTTTTATGCTGAAACAAAACTTCTTTAAATTATGATTATCAAACGCTCGAGTGATCATGATGTGTGTGACGTAGTACGACTAGTTTATTTTGCGTTTTTATCTTTGAATTGCGGTACCTATCTCGCGAACCTCGATAAACATGCTATTTGTATACATGCTTAGGCCTCCGGCCTTACTAGAATAATGGCCCTCATCCATCACTAAAGCTTGGATGAGGGAACATTTTTATAAATTGGTCAGACAAAAATATATAATATCCCGTTCTTATTTGTACTTTTAAAGTCTGTCAGGAGCTCATGCAGTTTTCTGTTATTTTAATTTATATTTTAACGAAATATCATACACGAATACACAGGCAGAGTAACACTGGTATAATATAATAATAATGATGATGACACATAATAAACTTCAAAAGTGAAACAATTAAATTACCCCGCTAGCATGTTAAATTTTACCGACAGTCACATGACATGACTTTTGTAACAAATACGCAGACAGACGGTAAATCACGTTAAGATTTGAAGAAATTTCTGCAATAAAATGATATTAATCTGCAGCTTTTTAATTGGTCAGATGTCACTGGGTCATAAAAAGTTGTTAGAGTATGTTCCCGCATTTTGTGACCCCCATTGGTGCGATATTTGTGTGTTATGCAATAAATTAGCGTGAAACGTAGGAGTCTATTAGAGAGAACCGCCGATTTATGACACTTCTTTTAATGCGGATAGGACCAACCGACATTTTTAATAATCAAGCAATTTACATGCGGTTAAGAATGCATGAAAGAGCATTCATTTACGGAGGGAACTGTGTCAGGGACTTTTGTTTGCTCCATCAATGACTTAATTATCTTAAATTACGTAATATGTACAGTGAAAAAAGTCACATAAAATATTTGACGTTACGTTATGTTTTTTGAGAAAAGATAGAACAAATATGAGACACCGTTCCCCAGATAGTATAAGTATGTTTATATTCCAAAAGTTTGATGACAAAAAAATAAAAAATTACTTTGATATGAGGATTTAAAATTTTAGAATTTTTGTTCAAAATCAATTATATACAAAGGCATTTTTTCAAATATGTTATTTTTTATGATGATCAAAGACATGTAATGCACAAAATTTAAATAAATAACAATTTTTATAAAAATTAGTTGGTTTAAATGACATTTATGGTAGTACCACAGAAAGTGTCTGTTGTCGCCTTAAGCAGAACTATTAAAGAAAAGAAAAAACTGAATAAAACAAATAATTGTTAAAAACTCATGCTAAAAATGTCCTCAATAGAAAGCTATTGCACACTGCTATACAGAATCATTTTCAGACCTGTATTGAAGTACATACAACATTCAGCAGAATTTTTATCCATGCCGATAAAAATGAAGGTAGGAAATGCTTTCTTTGACAGAAAGCAGGTATTTTGGAGTTCATTAAAAGTGTAATTTTCTGTACTTTCAACTTAATTGGAATGAAAAAAATAGCTATTATAAGCGATAATTCCTTATAACAGTGTTCACTATACATTGAAACAGTATTTTTTATATCAAATAAAGAATTGCAAAATACGGGCCAAATGAAATTGTTTCTTATAACAGGAAGTATGTCCTTTACTGACTGATGTTATAATGACCATAAATGAATTACAAACATGTACCTTTGTATCAATATGACTATACTATAACTTAACAAGAGGGCCATGATGGCCCTGAAGTCGCTCACCTGTACATAGGCCCCCTGAGCGGGGCCAGTTTTAACCCCGGGGCTTTTATTTTAACAAACTTAGAAGACACCCATTAGAAGATGTTTCATGTTAAATATCTTAGCTTTAGCTCTTTGGGTTCTTTAAAGAAGATTTTTTAAAGTTTTTACTATATGTATATAAAGAAAATCAATGACCCCCTGGGGCGGGGCCAATTTTGACCCAAGGGCTTTTATTTGAACAAACTTGGTAGACATCCATTAGAACACGTTTCATGCTAAATCTCTTACCTCTGGCTATTTTGGTTCATTAAAAGAAGATTTTTAAGTTTTTACTATATGCATATAGGGAAAATCAATGACCCCCTGGGGCGGGGCCAATTTTGACCCCAGGGCTTTTATCTGAACAAACTTGGTTGACACCCATTAGAAGATGTTTCATGCTAAATATCTTAGCTCTAGCTCTTTTAGTTCTTTAAAAGAAGATTTTTTAAGTTTTTACTATATGCATATAGGGAAAATCAATGACCCCCTGGGGTGGGGCCAATTTCTACCCAATGGCTTTTATTTGAACAAACTTGGAAGACACCCATAAGAAGATGTTTCATGCTAAATATCTTAGCTCTAGCTCTTTGGGTTATTTAAAAGAAGATTTTTTAAGTTTTTACTATATGCATATAGGGAAAATCAATGATCCCCTGGGGCGGGGCCAATTTTGAACCAAGGGTTTTTATTTGAAAAAACTTGGTAGACACCCATTAGAAGATGTTTCATGCTAAATATCTTAGCTCTAGCTCTTTTGGTTCTTTAAAAGAAGATTTTTAAGTTTTTACTATATGCATATAGGGAAAATCAATGACCCCCTGGGGCGGGGCCAATTTTGACCCCAGGGCTTTTATTTGAACAAACTTGGTAGACACTCACCAGAAGATGTTTCATGCCAAAAATCTAAGCTCTAGCTCTTTGGGTTTTTTAGAAGAAGATATTTTAAGTTTTTTCTTTTGGTTGCCATGGCAACCAGAGTTCTGCATGGAATTAAATTCTTTGAACAATTTTCAAAGGTGACCACCAAAGGAACATTCCTGTGAAGTTTGGATGAAATTGGCTGAGTGGATAATGAGGAGATGTCATTTAAAGTAAAAGTTTACGGACGACGGATGGACGAAAAGCGATCACAAAAGCTCACCCTGTCACTTTGTGACAGGTGAGCTAAAAACAATGTATACATAAGACTATTTTGTATCACATGTTAACATGTATATCACATGAAAACACTTTTATCACACAACTATCTTATATCATATGATAATATCACATGACTGCATTTTTTTCACATGACTATTTTGTATCACATGATTATATCACACAATTACACTGTTGTCACATAACTATTTGTTTAATATTCTAATATCACATGACTATTTTGTATCACATGATTATATCACATGACTACACTGTTGACACATGTCTATTTTGCATCCCTTTTATTTAAGTAACAGTGACCTTGATCCCAGAGGATCCAAAAGCACTCCCATCCAAGTCTTCATACAAGCTTGCTTTATACCAAGTTTGATTACAATATCTCATTCCTAATACTCATGTTATTGTCCGAAAACCATTTTTCTTTTTTTAAGTAACAGTGACCTTGACCTTGAACCAAGAGGGTCCAAAAGCAATCCCAGCTAGGATTTTCATATAAGCTTGGTATATACCAAATTTGATTACAATACCTCATTTCTAACCCTTGTTATTGTCAGAAAACCATTTTTCTATTTTTAGTAACAGATACCGTGACCGTAACCCCAGGGGATCGAAAAGCATTCCCAACGGTGATATATATATAAGCTTGCTATATACCAAGTTTGATAACAATAACTTATTCCAAACTCTAGTTATATTCTGGAAACAATGAGGTGGACCGACCTACCAACAAGATGACTCCTAAACTTTGTGGGGGTATAACAAAGGTACATTAAAAACTAAATGAACAATTTACCAGAAAAATCATTTATTGATGTCTGCTTCCATGTGTGTTTATCAAAGTCATTTCTTGTTTTAGATTTATAAATGTTGCCTGGCATAAATGTTTGACATTATTATGTTTTGAAATTTGAGGATGATATGTAGAATTTTGTTTGCATTATAAGTAAAGATGGTCTGTAAACAATAATATCGTATAAAGAATATCACCCCTTTTGTATATAATCAACCTTAACCACACTGTACCACATGATTATTTTGAATCATATGATAAAA